TSAKTARMRAMRAWACACGCTATCTAAAATCTGACTTGATACAGAGAAACCAAAGGGAGAACCAAATGTCCTCTACGTAAAGCGGAGGCAGATAATTGAGGAGTCCTATGCATTCCCCCGGCTAGGCCGCCTCGTTTACGCACATACCATCTGTCTAGAGTCCGCTCGATTCAGGCTGGCTCAAGGTCCGACTCGCGGACAGCTGTCTAGAGTGCTTTAGAGGAGGGTGATTCCTCAGTTTAGGTCGAAAGATCGCTGTAGAGCAGTGCAGGAAGATGCGTCTCGGTCCTGGAACATGCACTGTAGGACAACGAATCTTAAAATGTACAGTAGACGGGCTACCAAGACCTTATCCTCACACCCGCAATGCTGCACGCAAAAAACAAACAGGCTGACTACTTGGATTAATATTTTCACGTGCCGTAGTATATGTCGCCTTACCTCGAAAAGGGAGACCATGAGTAAGATATCTGGACCAAACAGGTGATAATTGTCTCACATAATCCGTGAATCATGCGCAATGGGGAGAGACAACAATGGACCAGGTACAGTAGAGTGTACATAGTTGGCCATATTCCTTAATGACTTTCATCTTCCGTGTTGCGTCAATACTCGTAGATCGTTCTCTAAAGGCCGTTGTCCAAGTCTCACAGTCACCAAGCCCATCGAGTTGCCAATATCGTAGATGGCTCCCAATAAATTCTCGTCTCATCCCATGGCCAATCCACGATGGCCAATCAAGATTGCTGCTCTAGGGGACACATAATCGAACCCCTCCTTAGATGGCCACTCGAAATCGCTCTAGGGTACACATCCTCAAACACCCCTTAGATGGCCAATCATTCAAGTAGACCCTATTCAGCCTTGGCAACTTGAGATGGGGAAACTCATTGTGTTTCCCTACTAGCATGGTCGGGCGCTGGTCCAGTGTGAGATTGTTTGCCCAAATATGGGCTGTCAACATCGTCGCGGATGCTTTGCTGATCTCGACGAATTGGCGAGACCATGCTTCGAGGGATCGATCTGCGGGTAGGACCTCTAAAAGGCTTCGACAAAGTTCGTCTCTCTGCGTCCTGCTGGCAGGATAAATCGTCTTCAGCGACAGACTTAAGGTTACGCTGTGGTGAAAGCAATGGTCCCAGTCGCATACCATTCTTGGTGGCTTGTGGGTGTGGTGAATTGTCCGGAGTAGTCTTAGGGTTGCCTTCCATTGTACGCTGTGACCGCTTCGTTACAGGTCTTCTCGCTTCGCGGATCTGTGTGTGTGTTAGCCAACTTCACCCTATACCTGCCAGTAGTCGTACTAACTGAACGTTGCWCAACACGTCCTTGCTCTGCGTTCTTTGCTGGGCTGTAAGCCACGCTATCCTTCATGGAATCAGTTCTGTGGCAGTGAAGTACATTGTCGATTCTCACCGTTATTGATCTTGCGGCTCGTTGCCGCGAGATCTTGTCGCATTGTGGAGATGGACGATAAGATGCGTCACTYTCACTATCGTCAAATTCCGAAACCGATGGTGAAGTCGAGGGTGACGATTTCCACCTTCGCCTTACCTCGTAGCGGGGGTCGTCTCTCGAAAGAGGATCGTCACTATCGTCACACATGATGATTGTGAGAATATTTGTCGATGTTGTGTTGAATGTTGTGTCGGTTGTCGAGCAATGTGGCTTGTGGAGAGCTATGCGAGGTGTGAGTGAGTAGGCGCAGTAGCTCATTAGTCGAGGCCATGTAGGAAGGAGCTGTCGGCCATTTAGGGRGGGGCTGTCGGCCATGTAGGAAGGAGCYGTCGGCCATAACGATAAGGAGAGTGATCAGTAGGCTGCGCAGAGACCGTCGACTCTTTCCTTGTAAGAGGGACCTACCACGGTGTCGAAGGTTCTAGAACGGCATCTTCACAGCTGTCGATGTGAGGATTGTTCATCGAGACACGACATCTCTAGTCGTGTCTATAGTGTCTGAAGGCTTCGTTCTCTACTGGTTCGTCGACTATAGGCCTGCTAGAACTATTGCTACTAGCAGATTGGCCTATTTGTCAGCTAAGGGAGCAGTTAAGGGCGCTTTTATTGTTAATGATTCCTCATATCGACAGCTCTGGGCATCTTGGTAGATGTGCCRGGTTGCTTGTTGTCCAGCGTCGCACCCTCAGACTCGTATGGTATAAAAAGCGTTCTCTGAGCGCTCGAAGATCGATCCAATGTGAAGCCCAGCGGGGGGTACAATGGGGAGCCCGACGAGATGAGAACGTTGATCGTAATGAGTTTGGTCAACCCGATGATCAACAAGCCGGGAGACGCGAGCTCTTATCCACTAAGACCGTGCTTTGCAAGTGAAGATGCAATCGGTACGTACTATAGGATGTCGGGAGCACTTCAGGATGTTCTTCTCGCAGCGGGTTTCTTGTGTGTGACCTGCGAGTTCGGCACCTGGGAGGCAAAAGACAACGTCCGTAAGCTACTACAGGAGAAATCAAAGCCACGGTCGATCGATCGATGGGGAGCGTTTTGAGAAGTGGATGTATGAAGATAGTCCTTTTTTTTTGACTTTATGGCTAAGAACGGTGCAAACACCGAAGGTGGACATGTGAAGATCAACTCCAGCATGCTTTGGGAAGGTACTGGTCGGGCCTTTGTCGACGCCGGTGCTGACGGCGCGAGCGATGGTTTGGACACTGTGATGCCAGAGGTCGGAGATCAATCGGAGGAGCAGAGAGAGCGACAGAAGTCGTTTAAGCCAAGTGGTCATGATCTGGGCAATGGAGGAGAAGAAACGGAGGAGCGGAGGGAGGAGCGGAGACTGCGGCTGGATTCATTGAAGCCAAGCACAGATGTTCTTGATAGTATGCATGGGAGTGACGGCGAGGAGGAATTGAGGGAACAGTTCGAGGATTGATCCCTCGACGAGCTCTGCATCAAATGGATCATGTTATAGGGCCCAAACAGGTCATCATCTTATTGTATATCAGCCAGTCTCTAGGGGATCGATCCTGCTAAGCAAGATTCACATACGAGGTCTACCCACTGACAGATCCACATGGAGTGGATGACTTGGCAGAGTTGTATGAGCGAGGAACAATTGAAGGTTGTACATACTTGCTTTGGAAACAGCTGAGCCGACTATGGCATAGCAACTGCCCCGTCTTGTACCGATGCTTGCTTTTATCAGTGCGGGTATCGGCCGCGCTTAGAGCATCCATCAAGGCTAGCTGTTCTATCCACACTAACTGCCCCGTCATGTATTAATGCTTGTTTTCAGCAGCGTCGCTCTTATCGCGCTTTGAACAGCCGCCAAAGTCAACTGTGCTATGAGGAGCTCGCGAATCTGTATCTCACGGGCCTTGTTTTTCTCTATGCCCTCTTCAATCCACTTGAAAGCACGTCTGAGTAGCACCCCGTCCTTAGGGAACCCACTCTGCTGTGGCAGTCCGGCAATCGAGATCGATTCGAGCAGGCCTTTCATCTCAGCATTGTCCTGTAGTGCAGCTTGCAAATTCTCTTCCAGTGCCGTGTATTGCTGGTCTGCTTGTCCGCGCTCCTGCTGGTGATCCTCCTGCTCCATAGCCTGCTGTTTGGACATCTTATCGATCTGTGTGAGCCAATTTCTACCTTGTGCAGCGAAGCTGACACCGACTCCTCTTGTTGTCTCTGATACCATTGTCTTCCCAGCTTACCTCAGTCTCACAAGATCGTCCTTTGAGAAGGTCACAGTCACTGGTTCGAATCCACACAGTACAAAGGCCTTGACTAAAGTTTTCCAAGATGACCACCAAGCTACTATGTGACCCTCGAGCTTGATGGACAGCGTCGCGAGCTCATAGCAATCGTCCTTGAAGGACGTGTATGTGATGATCTGTTCACCGGCGTCCTCTTCTTGAAGTAATCTCAGCCGATCGATCATCCCTCGCAGTGTCGTGTGTTCTGCTACTGTGGGCTATAGCTCGTCAAGTCTTTTCTTGAGGCTATCGACGTCCTGACGGAGGCTGGTGTCGTCTGCCTCCACAGACTGCAGTCTGCCAAGTCTCGTCGTGAGACGCTCCTTCTCCCTCTCATACTTCTTCAACCGGGTGATCTCACCGTGGAGGACGTTATTGTTGGCTTCCACCGATTGCAGCTTTTCGAGTCTCGTCATAAGGGTCGTATTGGTAGACTGTAAATCTTCGACTTTTGCCGTGAGGCTACCGACCTTTTCGACATCTTGCCTCAAACCTCGTACCTCTGCAGTCACAGAAGGTGCACACTCGGTGAATATATGCTCTAATTGAGTTTCAGATAGTGCCGTCTTGTGAACGCACTTTTGCTTGATAACGGCCTTCAAGTTGTCAATTGAAAAGGGTCTGTGCATATGCGAGGATGCGAGGGCTAACCGAGGGCTCCGGATAGCTCCTTAGTTAGCCCCCTTTATCTACCTCCGCATTGCATAGCACGTGTTTTGATTATGGCCTGTTTAAGTCYGTTACCCTCTAGATACTGTCTATGCACTGCTTTAATTACACTAAATGCGGATGGATCTTTAGACACGGCTTTGTATATACTAAGGTAGCGTTTAACCTCGGTTATTAACTATAGTTAAGCGAGGACGCTCCCGTCTTATTATACGAGACGAAAACACCTTTAACGATAACGATAACGACGCTAACGACGAATCCCTTAACGACGAAGACGACCTCGCCGGACTAAATAACGGAGGCCTCGAGTACTAAGCTAGTCGCCCCCTCCGCATTCTACCTACGCCGTATATAATAGATCCCTCGGCATCTAACGCGCCCGTGTCGAGCGGACTATMCGTCCGCGTAGCTACGCTAGCACCCCTCGATAGCGGCGACGGCCTTAATAACCTTAGTATAGAGGAAATATAACGCCTTACGGCGATATAAGACCTCCGCGAAAGGCGCGCCCGTCTWCAAACTAGGGCACTAGCCGTTAGTACGCTAGTAGCGCTACTGCCTCTCGCTCTAACTACTAAGATAGTAGAAGACGAGAACATACTTAATAGTAAGATACTAACTAGCGACCGTTCTTAGATTATACGGAACCTCTAGCATATTCCGAAGCCGTTAATTAATAATGTGTATTATAAGAGGTTTAATCCTCTTAACTTAGCAAGGATAAGGCTAATCCCTTAATCTACTAACCTCGGCATCCGCTCTATTATCGATACGGCTAGGTACCTAAACTCCTACCGAATTATAGGAAAAATTAAGGAGCTAGATACGGTAACTACTTAGATAGAAGGCTTCTGCTTTTTCGAACTACTAATAGACCGCTTCTTCGGCTCTAACAACCCCTTATTACTCCGTTAGCTAAATTTATACTCCGTGTAGGTTTTAGGTTAGGCTCGGAGATTTAACTAGAAGAACGCGGTTATCTATCTCGTAGTAGCGGCGTATACTAAAGCCTATAGCCGTAGCGTTACTAACGCTTCCTCTTAGGTTATTAACCCTCCGTTTGCGTATAACTACCTTACTCTAGAATACGCAGTTTCTATAGTACTAAAGGCACTAAATGCGCGTAGCGATTCGAACCCCGCGTAGAATAATAATAACGGCCGTAAGCCGCTAAAGGGCCCCTATATAAAGTAGAACTTATATAATTGCACGGAACCCTATCCTCGGTAGTTAAAACACGTTTATAAATAATGCGAAGGTACTTACCGGTTCGACTAGTGTCCGAAACGCGCGAAGAAGTAACTTAAGTTAGCAAGTAATTCTAAGCGTCTTCCTAAGGAACTAGTGTTATAACATTATACTATCTAATAGCCGGTAGTAGTAGCCGCGGAGGAGGCAAGCTACCGTATTAGATCTATTCGGCCGAATACGATACTAGCGTATAATATCTATAGCTCTACTATTCGACTACCGTAGGGTTTAACGCCTCTAGTTACTAGTTAATAGTTATACTTACTTCGAATATATCCTAATCCTCGTCTCCCTCTCCTCCTATCGCATATTATCGAGTATAGAGCGGACATTAGCTTTATTAGCGAAGCTACCCCTCGAATAGTACGTAACTACCGGTCCTCGAGCGACGATCCCTCGGTAATTACGAAGAAGGTAGATAAAGAGGCCGCGAACGGCCGGATAACTAAGATTAGCTACGGCTCTCCCGTAGTAGTCTCCCTACTAGGCCTTATACTAAAGTCGTCCGGTAGATACCGTCGTATCTACGACTTATTATAGCCTAAGGGCTTATCTATTAACGATAGTATCCCTAAGGAATTTAGGACTATCGCGTACGTTCGGTTTAACACGCTCCTTAATAGAGTTCGAGAAGCGGGCGTAGGCGACCTTTTAGTAAAGAGGGATATTTAGGATACATTCCGGAATATACCGGTTTATACTTAATAGCGGTAGCTCTTAGCTTTCGAGTAGTAAGGCTATATATATATAGAAAATTGCTTACCGTTCGGATTACGAACTACGCCCTTCCTCTTTAACCTATTCGTAGAAGGTTTATAATAGATCCTAGAGGATTAATCTACTTACGAGATTAACTATTACCTTAACGATTTCCTCGGCGTTTTTAACTCTTATAAGAAGGCGGCTCTCTTTAAACAGCAATAGGCTCGCGTTACCTCCGCCCTTAAAGTACCGTTAAGTTAAGCGAAAGAAGAAGAAGGAACCTGCCTTACTATCCTAGGTACCGAGGTAGATACGGTCCTAATAGAATGCCGGCTACCTCTAGATAAGCGAATATATACCCTTGCCCTTTTAAGCGAAGCTCTAGATAGTAATAGCCTGTCTTTAGAGGAAGCCCGGGAACTCGCTAGTAGGCTCGCGTAGGTAGTACGCGTCGTAGAGGTTAGCCGCGCMTTTAACGTAACCCTCTACGCTTTTATCCCTTAGTTTAATTCGGCTTTCGAGCGTCGCCGGATATACGCGGACCTTAAGCATAATCTAAAGTAGTAGAAACGAGCTCTTTAATTAATAAGCGGTATACGCTTAATCTAGCTAAGCTAGCCGCGACTTTATCTCATTATAGACGCTTCGTCTTTCGGAATCGGTGCTTTCTAGTACTACGTAGGCACTAATAACTAGAACGACAACGTACTAGCGATTACGGTTAATTATGCTTTTGCCCTCCTACGTACGGACTCTGTCTATATTAACGTAGCTAAGACGGACGTTATCGCGCTCTCGTTCTTTCGCTAGAGAGAGGAGTAGAAGTAATATAAGGTTATTATTTATACGGATAACCGTATAGTATTCGGTAGATTTAATAAACACCGAATTAAAGGCGAGGCTAACTAGCTACTCCGCGAGGTACTACTTACCTCTATATCGGCCRGCTTCTCCCTTAGACCGCCGTAGTAGCTATCGTTACTAGATAATAGCCTCGCTAACGTACTATTAAGATTAGATTAGGCATCGATTACTAACTTATGCCCTTAGTTACTATAGCTTCGACATTAAGCGTAGATCGTCGCTAGCTTACGCGTATTACGTCGCTCGCTCGGTTAACGCCTAGTATCTAAACGAGAACGGACTCGTTCTATATACTAATATATTACGGTCTATCCCCGCGTATACGACGTACTTACGCTACCGCGCTATTCTAATACGAATCCTTCTACGCCTTCGTAAGCTTCGATCCTAAGCCGTTAAAAGAGGAGGTTATATAAGAGGGACCCCTTTTACCCGCTATAATAATAATAACTAACGCCGCCGCTTCGACGGTAGCGGTACGGTAATCTTAATAGGTGTTAGTAAGAGTAACGCCCTCTATAAGATAACGTCGTTAGATTTAAATAAAGTGATAAAACTAGCTCTAAGGCTACCGGAGGGCGTACGAATAAAGGACTAAGTAGTATAACTTAGTAAGATTCGTATATTACGCCCTCTACGTATAGACCCTTATTATTATTACGGCGCGTATCCTCGGAAGGTAGGGTAACGCTATTACTAGCCGTTCGGTCGAAGCGTACGTATAAGCGCTTCGATTATACGAGCTAGATATAGGTACTAGCCCTCCGGAAGTAGTAACTAGGAGGATAATACGCGGTATAAAATCAATTAACCCTACCGCTATTAAATTGGTTATGCCGCGATTACTACTCCGTAAAGAAACGATTGCCCTTATCGTAAAAGAGAACCCTACTAGCCTCGACGAGTACGTATTTAATACGGCTATTACGCTAGCGTACGCTAGATTTCTCCGCCTCGGTAAAATCACGTACCCTAAGCGTAGCGAAGCTACTCGGATAGCGAGGTAGTTAATATATAATGTTACTATTAGTAACTACTATATTAGTACGAAAGGCGACTACCTAATTTTACGTCTAAAGAGATCGAAGACGGACCTAGAGTACCGCGGCGTCGAAATAACTATAGCGGTAGTAGCCGGCTTTACTTACGTAGTTTATTATATAATATAGCTATTCCGGTATTATACGAGTAGGAACATATTCGTTACTACCGAACTACTATTTAAGCTAGAGGCCGGCGGATTCTCGTAATAAGCTATTATCCGCCTTATTAAAGAAAACGTCGAAGCGGCCGGTATCGATAGCTCTAGATATAGCGGTTATTCGGCGCGTATAGGAGTAGCTTAAGATGCCTACGATAGAGGCCGTAATTACTATAGATCAAATTATAATACTCGGTCGCTAGACAAGCGACGCGTATAAACGGTATTATAAGACTAACGCGAGGACGGTATACGCCCTAAGTTACCGCTTTTAAACCGGTAGTATATTACCGCTATCCGCATCGACCTTACTAGTTTCTATCCCTCGGTTAAAGGCAAATAGTAAGCGACCGCTAGTTAAGGCTTCTAATATATAGTAAGCTGTCTAGAGGCCTCTAGATACTATTATAGCTTTTACTACGTTTTAGGATTATCCTATATAAGCTTATAGGCCTTATTTACCGACGTACCGACGTATATTAAGCGTTGCGTTAGTAAATAAGTAAGCCTATATCCTATAACCGAGTTAAAAAGCATAGATAAAAAGGGTCTATACATATACGAGGATACGAGGCCAAACCGAGGGCTCTAGATAGCTCCTTAGTTAGCCCCCTTTATCTACCTCCGTATTATATAGCACGTGTTTTAACCTACCCTCCGCGCCCTTTGTTTACCTATATATAGTTAGATAGTATATAGCGCATTAATGCTGCTTAGGCCTTGTTACCGACGTACCGACGCACACTAAGCGTTACGTTAGTGAATAAGCAAGCCTATATCCCACAACCGAGTTGAAAAGCACAGAGTAGTTGCTAGTGGCACAGCCTCCAAGATCCGTCTGAATGGTGACCGTCCTGGGCATGCCGGCGGTTTCGAGCATGTGTGTCAATCGGTCCATGTCCAATTGCATGTCGGTGTTCCGGTCGTATGCATGTTGCTTCGGCATCTTGGCGATTCCGATTTGCGTGTTGGAATCAGAGCGTTAATGTGAAGGTGGAGGTGAAGGTAAGACGACTGCTGGATTGAGATTGGAAAGTATGATTGGCTGACGTTGGAGTAGCACCTGCCCGATTAGATGGAGTGACGTTATGCTCGTCGTCCAAGTCTTCATCACCTCACTTCGTCACTACTTCATCCATCACTTCTCTCATCACCGCATCCATCACTTTATCCACCACCAACGACCCAGTCGCCTAGTACACGACAACGCGACAATGCATCCAGATGAAATTGCTGCAAGAATAAGAAAGCATTTCGAGAGGTTCGTCAACAGACAGATTGGTCCTTACGCGGGCATGACTGACTTTTCGCATCATTTTATCAGCGGCCTGAACCCATTTTTGGCTTCGGCGAACGATGAAGGATTGGTATCCGTGAGGAAGGGGACCGACGAGGCAATACAGAACTTCTATGCTCAAGTGTCAGCCAAGACCGCATCGCAGCTCGAGAAAGTATCCGGAGAATGCTCACAGCTTCGGGAGAGGTCGACCGAGACCGCATCGCAGCTCGAGACGGTGTTCGGAGAAGAATGCTCACAGCTCCGGGACGCGTCAGCCAAGTCTACATCAGAGCTGCAGAAAGTATCCAGAGAATACGCTCAACTCTCAGAGGACGTAACGGTGCTACAAGATGACAAGGAGAGATTACAAGCTGATTGTGACGCGCTGGACGAGGAGAACGTAGCCTTGCGGACAGAGATTGAAGCGCGTGACGAGCATATCGAAGCCTTGCAGGAGGACCAAGTCGGCTATCGTCGCGGGGCTGCATGTCGCTCGCTTTACACTACCTCTATAGACCAAGCAAGTCGAGTTGCATCGTTCATTCTCTAACATACATACTAACTACTCCATTACCTAGGGTCGATCCAGCAGCACAGTCGACGAGGACGCTATCGATATTCATCTTTGGGACCTAGTCAAGGAGGAGGCCATTCACCACGCGGACCCAGCCAAATCTCTCCCGCCACGGCTTTAGGAATCCATTAAGAGAGAGATGATCGCGGCCAGGAAAGCGTTTCCAGATGGAGGATTCCGTCCGGCTAGGAGCGTGTACAAATGCGCACGGACCGGCAGGATGGGGGGCAAGATGCATTGGACCGTGAAACACGCCAAGTTTCGGTCATGCAAGACTTTTTGCAACCAGATGACCGTATGCATAAGACATGACGGTGACGACAATTGGATCGTACTCCCGCTTCCAAAATCATATTGGCCATCAAAGGCACCTTTCGACGCGTCGAATGCTGCCTTTTACATCAACAGCACTGGCATGCACTCGAACAACTATAAGGATTTGTGGACCRAGGATTATGCTTTGGCAAATCAGCATGTCGGAGTTGGTGAGGAGGATGATTGGAGCTGCTGCGTCGACGAATGGATTGAAGTATGGCTGAAGAATGGCAAAGGATTCGGTATAAGCGGGCGGCATCTTCTCGACGTGGAGCATAAATCAAAGGCATAAACACTTTTTGCACGCGTATCTAACTCATCGGCTCAACTATATGTGGGCATCGCCTTAGATTGTTCCAAAGAGTAAGGGCTACACGCCTGGGACGACGTCTGACAGCAGAGGACAACTCTATGTATCCCACTATGAATCCTCGTAGCTCGTCTGCTAAGATCGATGCAGAAGAGTCGTGTACCGAATGTGATAAAGAATAGTGTAGCACAGGATAGTGGAGTGTACCTGCGGGTTGCCCATGAGCATTAGGTTCATTGGAATGTAGGACATATAGTTAAAATATACATCTAGGCGCGACAAAAAATGAAACTATAAGATCCGATTCATCCTATCTTCTTCCGCTCTGTAGAACGACCCTACACTCTCTCTTCGAAGAACAGTCGTACACTCCCTGGTTTAGCTCGCTGAGTGCCTTTCTCGCTCTACCTTCTCTTGCCCCACTATATTGACCTCCACAACAAACGCAGGGCGGTGAATTGTCGCGGCTCGATTCTTTCAAGCTGGAAACAACGAATGGTCGACCTTCACTGCCGCCGTCCTTTCCAAACCTGTTCCACGCCTTCCTCACTTACTTTGCTCGCTTCAGAAGGTGTCACGCACTAGCATAGTTCACGCCTAGACATTCGACTTTGGCTTCACTTCCACCCACGACATTAACACCGACACTGGCCACGACAAGGCATACCCTCACTATAATGCCACCTTAGCAGTCGATGGCGGAGAGAATTCGCCAAACACCCAAGCAGAGGCACGCCGAATCTCCATCTTCATCATCATCCACCATTTTTGACAACGAAAGCGTCGCTACTACCGCCACAATTTCTCTCCTTCACAACATCAAACAGCGAGTTACGATATCACTAGAACAAAGCAACAGTGGCTTCCGAAAATTCCTCTGGGATGTCATGCGTACCCATTTAATTGATCGCAGAGTCACTGTCCTCAAAACGTTCATGCAGCGCCTCGAACACAAGCTTAATGCATTGGATGAAGCAGGAATCGAAGAATTTCGGGACATATTCGTTGAACTTGGCTTCACGGGCAACTTTATTTTACGTTTCGCTCAACACGAGCAGGGCATCAACTCAAACTACGTGATGCACATGTTTCTGGATTGCCTGCGGCACCATCTACAGGATGGATCTCAAGATCTCCGTCAATACGTGATTGGGCTGTGTGGATCTTCTTTCCACGCCGCTCTTGGGGAAATCATGGTAACCAGGCTTGCGCAAGGATACGTCACCAGCGGAACTGGTTTCAGTCACTACCCTGCTAGGCGCAGTGTGGATCCACCGAGACGTAAGTCCGCATGGGCAAAGAACTGGCAATGGACTCGTGATAACAGTTGCCTGATGGAGAATGTCAAGGGAGAGGTGGCCCGGAAACAGCGCTTATTGGAGGCAAAACGAGAAGAGATCGATCTACAGGGATTACCGGACCTGGTCGAGCTGATGATGATGGACAAAGCCTAGGTGGGATCGAGCGAGCTGCACAAAAGCATGGGTGCGGGTAAGGGGGGTAATGAGACGGTGTGCATTGCTGATATGAACTACGGATGGATCCATGAAGGGGGGAAGTGGATGTGGCCAGGTCGGTATCGAGGGTATATTCGTACGTACATGAGTTGGTGGTGATGGATGGAATGCCGTGTTTGATTGCTTCAGATGCGGGTGACTTTCAGTCGTCCAGCCGTGTACAGAAGAAAGTGAGTGTCCGCGAGGGCAAGTGGAGCGCGCGCGAGAGGAGACCGATGGCCGCCGATTTGAAGATTGCCGCCTCTCCTTGTAGTGAGTCGACGACAACGCTCACGAACAGGTAGCGGCTATAAGCACAGCAAACAGCAGCCGTATGGAGAGTCAAGTACGGCTGCTGGTCGAATGTCTGATCGAACAATTTCTTCTTAGTCGCACGCTCGTTATTGCAGACAATACAAGAGTTTTGCTTGTTATGAGTAGGGCGGCAACCTTCAATTTCTCCGGCCCTGGGACGTGAAGTCGGACTTAGGGTACAGGTGCGGAGCTTACCCCGCATGCCAAGACTCCGGGTAAGCCCGAGGCTCCGCTATTTGCCACCCGGTCCACGTCTCTCGGACGCCTTGACACCAGACTCTGCCTCGCGATGTCAACGAAATATCGTGGAGGTATGCTTTTCTCCACCCGCCACAATCAACGAGCCATCGAGGGTTTACCAAGCGTCTTCTTTGTCGCCCATCTACCCGTGAACTGACGGATTCTCTTTCCATATAGGAAAACAGGAATCCCCAGCAAGCCAAATAGGGCGGTCAATCCAGCATAAGCGCCAAAAGAACCGTCATACCCGTCAGTCTCGATGAACTTGGACACACCATAGCTCGCACCGAAGCTCACAAACCCTCGGAATGCAGTAATCACCACAAGGACTGGCGCAGCTCTCGCGGGATACGAGTCCAGCAGGTATGTGACTGCAGCGATGTTTGCTCCAAGGAATCCAAAATAGTATCCCGAGTATGACCAGACGATAGCAAACCAGTGGTAGTTCTACAGAGAGGTTAGTCAGAGATCAGCAGTCTCGCCTGTTCACTCACCTCAGGATGCTGCGCGGCTTGCCCATAGATCACGGCAGAGATCACACCGACGGTAATGGGAATCCCCAACACTAATAGCCGATTTTCCGGCTGGTTCCTAATCAGCATGAAGATTTCGCATCAAAGGATGACAAGCTTACCTCATGAACACCTCCATTCCGCTTGGCTCTATACTTCAAGACATAGTCGGAGCCGTTGCCGAGTAGAGGAAGTGCGACCAAGGCAACAACAATCTGGCCAGCGTTGACATACGAGACGTTACCCTCGGGCCAGCTATATGGAGCGGCAGCGACAATCTTCCCGTAAGTGGTTCCCAGAGCGATGTTGACGCCAATTGTCAGACCATTCAGGCAAAAGGCCCAAAATACGTTGGGAAATAACATGATCTGGAAAGTATGCTATGTCGAGTCAGCGCCTGAGGTAATCTTCAGATCGACCACAACTTACGATGAATGTCCAGGCTCCCTCTGACCAGTCTGGCTTGCTCTTGAAAAGCGTCATGTCGGATCGAAGGGTTCTCGGCTTGTATCTGGAGAGGTCCATGGCCGGCCGCTCCGACATCCTCACGGGTAACAGGGCTGCGGTAGTCGCTGGCTTGGACAAGTCTTCCTCCGTAATCTGCCCATACGCAGCGAGAGAGCGATCATACTTGGTCTCTGGCACGAGGAAGATTGACAGAACCAAGATCGTTGCTGCCAAGCCACCACCCAAACTTCAAGAATGATCAGCCAGCATTCGCATGAGTGTCTCTCAACCGTGACTCACATGTACCACTTTCCAGGTCCAACTTTGCTTGCAATCGGCGACGCAAAGATGACCAGCACGGCACTGACAATGGTCTGTATGGCAGATTGCCACATCAGAAACGTCGAGCGTTCGTGAAGGAAGTGTATCTCTTGGATCATCATCGGCACCAGGGCTTCACTCTGCCCTGCAGCAAGCCCGAGTAGCATACGAACAGCCAGATGATGATTATAGGTCTCGACGTAGGCCGCTCCAACCGCTGCAACGACCAAAAGGACGCAGGAGAACAAGTAAACTGGTCGTCGACCGATCGCCATTGCCAGCGGCATGAGAAAGAGGTTTCCTATGCCCATGAACATGGAGGGATATGTCATGAGGGCCGTGATATCGCCGTAAGAAGCACCAGCTTACTAGGATAAGTCTTGCGGAATGCTGTAATGTATTCTCCCAACTCACCAGCAGCATACGTGGGTATGTAAAAGTTCAACAGGCCGCCAAATCCAGCCACCAACGAAAGACCAACACTGGAGACTATACGCAGTTAGTAACCGTTTGCACATCAGAGATTGATTGGACCAACACACAGAGAGATAACAGAACGATCACGACTACCTTTCTCCATTTTGGGAGGTTCAATGGATCTTTGAAAGCGTCAGTACTTTGAACTTCATCGGCTTGAAAGGGAGACGGTACCTCTTGGGTCAGCACTAGGCGATGGTACCAGAAACATGTCTTTGGTGTCGGCGACAGTGACCGTACCCATCGCATCGGGCTGCTGCGTGACTTCTGTGATGCCATCTTCAACATCCTCATAACGCTCAACAGTAGGTTCGATTTTCTTCTCCATAATCTCTCAATGCGTTTGAATCGTAACGAACGAGGCGATGATCAGTTTGACCCAATCCATCAAAGCGATACATGTTGTATTATAGAGCTCGTGCCCACCTCCGCATCGATATCAAAGATCAGCATGTGAATGCACATCCCAACCGTTCATACGAACCGTCTGGGGAAATGCGGGGGAGCCAAGGACACGGTAGTGGTGGTGGAGGTGGTGGTGGGTCCTGTCTGGTCGACGGGTGGATATTATCAGGCCAGGTGATACGCATCTCGGTGGATTTCTTCATGCAAGCGAGATTGTAACCACGTGCAGAAGTGTGAAAATGATGGGGAACACCCACCTTTCCGAACAAGGCTGGGTATATCACACTTGCCTCCCCCCACATTCCGTTCAACATGATCCTCCTCTTTTTCCGATGCAACATGGCTTCCAGTCCGAAACGAGCAAGATCCAATACCGCATCACATATTTGTCAGCTATGCCACAAGGCATATGAGCGAGCAGATCACCTGAATCGGCATCTAGACTCACGTGGGTCATTCAACAAAGTCTTGACACCCTCGACTGACATGTTGTAGATCGTAACGAGAGAAGCTTCAAGTGCTCGAAATGTTCTCGCGGCTTCAATCGACGTGATCTGCTGCTCCGACACCAGGCTGCACATGCCCACAACAGTAGTTTAAAGCGAAACGCCCCGGATCGATCTGTAGAGCGCGCCATCAAAGCTTGCGATGCATGTGTGGTCTCCAAGGTGAAATGTGACAATGACCGTCCTTGCCAGCGATGCCTTCAACGGAACATTGAATGTGTTGTTGATGAGGCGACGGACATTCCGGTCTTCTCAGCTGATGGGCTGTCCGATCAACAGTCCTCACGTCCCCGCCAATCTTCGCTCTTCTCCACGAAATCGACAGACAATAGTCAAAACCAAAGCGGAAACGTCGAGGACAGCATACTGTTCGATGCCTCCAACTTCCACCAGGCACAATCCAATGATCCAGCCGTGTGGAACTCCACCTTGATCGATTCAATGCTCCCCTTCCCGCCATTCTTCGAACAGATCATGGCCCCGGACTTTGTTGCTAACCAATCGTACTCGATGCCTCCCGACATATTCCATATGATGCCGGATGACAACTGGTTTCCAGAGTGCCCCGACATCTTTGGTCACGATTTCGCGCCGACAATCGACCAAGCATTGCAATCAAATGTGAATGAATTCACCCTCCGACCCGAGGGAGAGGGTCCAGATGAAATTGATCACAACACCACCATTAATGACAGTGCGGGAGAGCGACATGCCATTTTCCAGCGTTCGCCGTGGCTGTGGAAACCAGAAGCAAATTCAAATGCTTTCAGTGAGCACGGTAGCTTCCCTCTAGATGAGGGGCAGGTCAACTTGGCATCATCACCACACCAACAACCCCTGCCACAGCTAGTTCTCCAGAGAGACCTCTCTCCACGCTTGCGAGATCGACTCTTTCAACTCGTTGTCAAGACGGCCGAGTCACACATCTCCATACCGACCTTCCCATCCACAGAATGCCTCAATCTACTTCTCAAAGTTGGCCTGACCAAAAGAATGGAAACCGATGTTTGGATCCACCCGTATACGTTTGACGCGGAAACGACCAGGCCAGAACTACTCATCGCTCTGATCGCGGCRGGATGTATTTGTTTTGGAATTCCAAGCGTCTCCAAGACTGGACTTGTATTGTTTGAGCTGACCCGAGCGGCTCTACATAAACTCGTCGAGGATGACAACAGCATGATCAGGGATCTGCAATACCTACAAGCCTGTATGATATGGATCGAAGTTACTGCTTTTTGTGGATTCAAACGGAAGATGGAGATTGGTGAGCACAGCTTGCAGCCACTCGTCACGGCCTTGAGGCGAGCAGGGAAGTTTGACCGAGTCGCGTATGAAGAAATATCCGTCTTCGTTAAGGATGACGAACAGACTCTTCGATCTAAGTGGGAAGCTTGGGTAGAGGTGGAGTCCTATAAACGGTAAGCAGAACGTGATGGAAGAAGTGCAGATGCTGATTCGGTCAAACCAGATTAGCACACCATCTGTTTGAGCATGACATGTACTCGACGCACACCAAATGCCGCAACCCTCTCATATCCTACGCCGAGATGACTCTACCATTGCCTGCGTGTCGGGAACTTTGGCTTGCAAGGTCGCCAGAGGTTTGGCGGATGAGATTGCTGTCTTTGGACAACGAGTCAGAACGTCGTAGCGTGTCCATACGGGATCTTCTGGCAGATGCCAACCTGCTGCGGTACCTCCCGAAGCATACTGATGCTCGACTGGCACGTGCACTACATGCATACGGTCTCTCGGCGCAGGTGTGGGAATATCATCAACAAGCCATGGTATCTACAACCTCCTTCACTTCCGACCCAGATCCATCGGCGAAGCTGTGCTTACAGCTCCAACACAAACAATTGTCAGTTCATTAGTCATTTATACTACTTCTCTCCCAACTGACATGAATAGAAACCAATCGCTCCAACAAGCTCGCCAAATGCTAAAGGGTGATCTAGCCGTGACAATCTTACTTCATGAGTTCCTCGTGATGAGTCTACATGTCGATACGGACCTGATCACTCGCTTTGCTGGCAAATGTGGCGAGGCAGAAGCCCGTCGAGCATACAAAGACTTGCAACCCTGGAGTCGTACCAAGGACGCCCGAACGGCAATTGTACACGCTGCTCAAGCAGTTCGAATTGCGAGAACAGTACCTCCTTATCAACTTCGAGGCTGCGACTCTTTCATTCTCTATCACGCCATCATGGTTCTTTGGACATATAGCATGATGCATCAAGGCGCACAACGGCAGGATAAAGATGTCGAAACCAAAAGACAGGACAAATCCGCATTAGTTCTCTTGGATGAGGAAAGCAATGATCGTATCGCAGCTTTCATCCTCTTGGATTCTGGACAGCCATGTCTGAGTGGATCCCATCACGCTTCACAGGTGGGCCAAGATACCTCGCACGTGTGCGACCTTCGTAATCCACAAGCTGTGATGGCGATGGGTGTCAAGGTGTTTGAAGGAAATCTTCCAAACGAGACGCGACAGAATCTCCCCCAGCTAATCAAATGTCTTTGTGAGCTCCTGAGCGAGCTCGGTAGCCTGATACATAGCTAATGCAGAATCAATTCATGACACCTTGGATGGAAGCATACGTCCAGGCCGAATAAGAACTATTCTCATGCTCATAATATCAACTGCTATTCATGACCGCAAGATATATATTCCTACTCCTATCCACAGCAAGTTCAGTACGCCTCAACAGCCGCAAGCTGAAGCAATCTCTGGGTGATTTCGGGTTTCTCCCGAGGCTCGCTACGATTCAGAGGGTCAACCTTGCCATCTCGAATCGGTGGACCCGTCTCTCGGATGTTGCAGTGTGGCCAATGCTTAAGAATGAACATGTCAGTGATTGTATTGTAGAGATTCATCCAAAAGATAAAGACATACCGTGGTACCTTGCCACTTCTTGAAGAGGGAGCCCTTCAATTCCAAATCTTCGGGCTTTGCAAACTTGGCGGGAGTCATGCAAACGTATTGAACATGACGAATGAGATCGCCCTGAGGGAAAGATGCGTAATGCATCGTGCGGGAATCCCATAGTGCCTGGAAATATCTTGTCAGCGAGGTCTAATAAATCAACTTCATTCTTCTTCTCACCAAGTCTCCTGGCTCCAGATTGGTCTCCACCATCTCACAGCCATGATCTTTGAACCACTGCACATCACTCTCCTTGAAGATGAACAGATCCTTGAAGTTTTCCTCCTCTGGTGGCTTGTCTTCATGTTCATCCTGCTCTCTCGTCTCACTGAAGAATTGGTCAAACAGCTTGCTACTGCCCTTCATGACGATCAATCCTCCATCTTTCGGTCCATTGGGTTGATAGTTGAGTAGACCCTGAACACACTGCATCCCTTTCCGTTCCGGACTCTGATCACAGTGAGGCCAAGGACTCCAAGTCAAGTCCTTTTGCCGTGGCAGAGTAATGTTCATACCATCGAACGAGCAGATGAGCTCATCGGTTCCCCACAGATCCGTGAAGATCTGTTGCACCTTGGGTTCCATTCGAGCCTCCCAGACGAACTTCTCGTGCGTGCTTGAGTATGAAAAGTACATGCCGCCTTTGAAGGACACGGGCAGATGCTCCTGGGTCCAGGTTGACTCATCATTGGGGTCAAAGCCGAGTCCAAAAGACTGCAGCCACTCAATCTGTTTGTTGCGATAGTACGCGGCCCTTTCTGGTGTGATGACATTCTTCACAATGGTGAAACCGTCCCTGTGGAACTCATCCCGCCAGTCACCATACTGCTTGCCATCATGTTGAATGAGATCGACGCCGGAGTCTGGAGCTGGTTCTGTAGCGTGAGGTACCATGTTTGATGATGATGATGATGATGATAATGTTGTTTGTTGAGGATATGTTTGTATCGATCTTGTTGTGTTTATATCCCTCATGTTTGGCTAGAACTTCACTCAAGAGATGGATCAATTCATTGGCCCCCCCACATCCTCTGCAACGCCCACATCTCACATCGGCATGATGTGGGCGGCGAGGGGAAGAGGGGCTTGCAGGGGATAGATAACTCGCTAGCCTATCTCGGAAGTTGTGGGGACCAATCAACGGGCGATATGTTGGTGTTGCGGGGAAAGCTAAACGCGTCTAGACCCGTGGAGCACTCGTCAATTGACACGCGGGACCGCTCAAAAAATGTTTCGAAGGTCATTCATGTTCAAAAGGAATGGCATTCCCCCAATCTCCTTGTAAAAGACATTCGATCTATTATTACTCCCCTCACGATACTCCTCAAAATCCACCCAAATCATGCCTGTCCCGGTCCAAATAGCTTACAAGCCCATTGGCAAGCCAGAGGTTGGAGTCAACAACTACCAAGGCTTCAACCCTGGAAAGAGTGAGACATTGTCGAAGGGCTGGAATGGATACGGTGCAAAGCCTCTCCAAAGCGACATTCAAATCGATCATGATGTTGAAATCGTCGTTCGAGATGGTTGCCGCTTGTATGTCGACATCTACAGGCCTGCAGGTTTGTCGGAGGAAAAGATCMCGGCCATTATTGGATGGTCATGCTATGGCAAAAAGTACAGCGCTCTCAGCATGCTGCCAATGACTGTATGGAACTGTTGTGTGGAGAAGAAGGATCTCTCGGGGCTGGAGAAGTTTGAGGGATTGGACCCACAGAGGTGGTGCCCCAGAGGATACGCAATCATCTCGGTGGACTCTCGTGGAACAGGCAGCAGTGATGGACAGATTCCTATCATGGGATCTCAGGACGCAGAGGATGCTTATGATGTCGTCGAGGCCCTGGCAAAGATGGACTGGTGTAGCGGTAAGGTGGGCATGGCAGGAAATTCTGGTGAGCATGTCAAGCAAGCAAGACCATCACAAGTTGAAGCAAGCAAGCTAACCATCTGCAATCATTCACTGAAGCCCTTGCCATCATCCAATGGCACACCGCATCTCTCCAACCTCCTTCCTTGGCAGCAATCGCTCCGTGGGAGGGCTCCGGAGATCTCTTCCGAGAGCAATTCTGTCGTGGAGGGGTATTCTCGATGAGCAATTTCGATCTCATCACCCGTGAGATCATCAAAGGCAACTCAGGAGTGGAAGACTTTGCGGAAATGTACAGAAGGAGCCCTCTCGCCAACCAATACTGGAATGATAAGCGACCCGACATGACCAAGATCAAATGTCCCGTCTTCATCTCCGGGTCAGATTTCAGCTCTATCCATACCATGGGTGCCGTCCGGGGTTTCCTTGAAGTGCAAGGAAAGAAATGGATTCGATGGAGCAGCCATCAGGAGTGGTACGAGCTCTACTGCGATGATCACGCCGATCAAGAACTTCATCAGTACTTTGATCTGTTCCTCAGGGACGTCCAAAACGACTTTGAGGAGAAAACTCCCAAGGTCCGGTGGTCTGCCTTGCAATTCGGTGACCGCGAAGCAATCGACAACATCGAATACGCCGACTTTCCCATCCCCAACACCGAATATCGAGAGTACTTTTTGCACGACAACACGCTTAATGGCTCCAAGTCTTCGGCCACTTCAACAGTGACATACAACTCCGACGATGGGAAAGATGTCGCCGACTTCACTCTCGTCTTCCAGGAACGTACCCGTCTCATCGGCCTTCCCAAAGCTATCCTCTACATGTCCTGTAATGATCACGACGATATGAACGTCTTCGTTCATCTACGCAAGCGGGACAAGGACGGCAACCCCTTGATGCACCTCACCTTTCCCTTCCATGCTACTCCCGTGAGTTCGATTGCCGATATCCCCGAGAAACAACGCCAAAGCACGAACCTCCATACCGGATCCACCGGGGTCCTACGCGCATCTCATCGGGCTTTTGATCCCGAAAGAAGCATTCATCCACAATTTCCCTTCCACCCTCATGACAAGGAAGAAAAGATTACACCTGGGGAGATTGTACGCCTGGAGATTGGTATCTGGTGTATGGGTGTAGACTTTGAAGCTGGCGAGGCCATATCCGTGCAGGTGAGTGAACCCCCCGAGACCTTTCATCGATGAAACTTTGCTAATCGTTGCCAGGTTTCTGGTCAATTCCCCAACATTGCAGAGTACAAGGCTTGGTCTGAAGCTCGTCCAGCCCATGAGTTGAACAAGGGTCGGCACATTCTGCACACGGGTCCAGATCACCCTAGCAGCATAATCCTACCAGTCGTGCCAGTCTAGTATCTGTAGCATTTGAATCCCAGTTTTAGCACTTAGATCTGCTTAGTATATGTATGTAAGGATCAAATGTCATGAGAGCGTGCAACCTCGAGTCAGAGTATGATCTTGAGTGAATTTTGTCAACCATGTCTCGAGGTTCCCGTCTCCATAGCAGTGATGCACAATCTCCTATGAGAGAAACGTCTATGCAGTCACAGGATCATGCGGGAGTCGAACTATTGGAAGACATTTGATACAGTCGAAAGTAATGAGAATTCTCGATATCTATTGCTTCATCGTCAAACTTTTGTCAACTCTGACATTTGACCCTCCCAATCCTTGGCTCCCTTATACGAACAGTTGTACTCCATAAACTCGTCCGGACGCCTACAGATATGTTAGCATACGGAACAATCCAGCCAACAACTGATACTGACATTTTAACCTCACTGCTACCCTTTTCGGTGGCGGGCTTGGCAGCATCTCGACTGTACCGCTGTATCAAGCTCGCTCTCTCATATCGACAACGAAACACCTGTTGTAGTATACTCTCAATCTTCTCAGCTGATGGTGTTCCTGTGCTTCCCTCAAAGAATGCACCCAGAGCCTCGGCGTCCTCAATCGCCTGACTAGCGCCTTGTCCTTGAGTCGGAAGCATTGCATGAGCAGCATCACCAATCAAAATCACTCGTCCCTTAGTCCAAGTTTGAAGAGGAGGAATGTCACGCAATTGCCACAGACCAATGTCTTCTGCGAGCTTGAAGGGTGCCTTCACCCACTCTGGAAAGTCTTTGTATGTTTCGAGTAACTTCGACAGGTCTCCTTGAGATCTCCATGACTGTCTTTCGTCCATTGGTTCGTGCATCATCTCATCCGGTACAAGGCCCACGATGCTGTAAAGTGAGCCTTCCCTCGCTGGTCCCATTATCAGACGACATTGGTGTGCCACGAGCATTGATGTGTACGCCTCTCTTGGGTTGATGTTGCGGCAGAAATCCAATGCTCGCTCCTCCAAAAGATCCGATGAGATCATCATACGATAGGCGGAGAGTCCAGTACGCACTGGAGAGACCCTCTCGTCCAGGACATGGCTTCTAATCGTGCTGTGAATGCCGTCTGCGCCGATGATGAGATCAGCACAAATCTCTTCTCCGCTCTTGAGCTTGATGGTGCCGGCCTTGCAATCACAAGACAATACTCGGCTTGACGTCTTGATGGTGACAGGCGGTCCATCCCTTTCCGTCGACCTTGCTGCTTCTTTGAGACAGTCGTGCAGATCTTGACGATGGTACATCATTCTGTCCGCGCCATAGATGTCTCGAGTTGCAAGTGGAATCTCGTTCACGAGAACACCATCGACGTTGTATATCCTGAAGCCTTTGTCTATCATGCCTCTTGCGGAATCTGCTTGAATATGCCATTCATTTTCGAGGATCCTTGAGGCGTTAGGCTGCAAAGATATGGTGGCTCCAATTTCATTGTTCATCCGTGATTGCTCCAGGACCGTTATTTGTCGATTAGGAGCCCGAAGCACGATTGCTGCCGATATCCCGGCGATACCTCCTCCCACGATGACAATCCGGAATTGCTGTGAGGAGGCCATTCTGTATCGAACAAGGGAGAGTGGGGAAGAAAAATACCGTGACAAACGGCAGTGCTTTTGATAACACGACTTTGCCCATGGATGGAAATCTTGTCACGTTTCTGGCAACACGACCTTGCCCGCGGATGAAGATCTTGCAACGCTTTTGTTGTACTGTCCAGTAGAGCGTCCTCCTATCATGTAACTGCCGAAAAAAAGTGAGCTTCCTCCCAGGCCCGGATGTGTAGTATGTGGGGAGCAGTTCTCGGATATGTGGGTTCGGATGCGGCACTCGCTTTTCGGAAAGTGGGCGGATTGCCAGCCTGGTGTGGTTCACAAACTTCCCACTGAATCCTTTTCCGACCGKTAAATGTGGGATCGCTGTAGAGTGGGCGCATCTGTCCATGTCTGTCAGAAGTGGTCTCGGGCTGGTTTGAGACCGCACTAGATGGATAAAGCCATCAACAATTGCCGACATCTGAGAAGCACCTCCGAGTCCAACCTACGAGCATCACCATCTAACAAGATGTCCATCACCACCGTAGAGCAAGCCCATGTTCTCACCGTCCAAGGTCCATCGCAGGCCCTAAAAGTTGACGGAACCGATCCGACCTATGGGGATTGGAGAGATGACCTCGCCCGTGACGGATTCGCAGTGATCAAAGGAGCTGTTCCCCGAGCGAATGCGGATAAGTATGCCGATGCCATGTACAGTTGGCTCGAGGGATTGTACGTATCATGACATTCAGTTCGATTATGACCGCTAACCCTGCCACAAGCAACCTGGGATTCGACCGAAACGATGTGTCGACCTTCCACAAGGATAAGCTGCCGCACATCACAGAGAAAGGCATGTGTTTGCAGTACGCAGTGACTCATGAAGACTTTGCATGGGCCATTCGAAGTGAGCCCGGTGTGGTGGAAGCTTTCGAAAAGGTGTACAACACCGCGGATCTGATTGTATCGTTCGATGCAATCAATTTCACCTTGCCGTAAGATCTCGCATCACTGCATGTACGACAGGTAGCCCACTGATATATTTGAAGCCGCGAGGACATTGCCCCGAATGTACCATGGCCGCATCAAGACCAAGATCCTCTCAAGCCGGGATTTCGATGTCTTCAGGGCCTTGTAAATCTACTTCCCAATGGACCCGATGACGGCGGCCTCATTGTTTGTAAAGGCGCACATCTTGCGTCTGAGGAATACCATCGTGTCTTCAAAGACGAGGCTAGGATTCCAGCATGGACCAACGAGTGGTTCGGATTTACCGAAAATGGCATGAAGTGGTTCGAGGACAACGGATACCAATGGGAGAAAGTGTGTGCCGAACCTGGCGACCTTTTAGTTTGGGACTCGCGGACTCCGCATTACAATCTCAGCTCCAAGACATCCCAGCCTCGGTTTGCAGTGTACACCTGCTTCATGCCAGTTGAGCAGGCCACGCAGGAAGATCTGATCGGGAAGAAGGCCGCCTTTGAGAAGTATCTTGGYACGACGCATTGGCCCAATGCTCGTCACATCGGCTCGAATCTGGCGAAGAGGAACGGAGAGGAAGATCCGCACAATCGGTTTGAGCCCGTGAACAAGCCCGTGCTTGATGAGAGAGCATTCAAGTTGACGGGTATTCCGTACATCAAGGCGTAGATTAGGTAGTCAGCAGGAGTGCGATGAGAGAAGCTCATCGGCGCAACAGGAGCCATTATGAATTCGACTTTGCAAGATGAACCTCATCCATTCGGACGCCGCGTCGAGGCTTGAGACTATGACTGTCTTCCTCCTCCTGGGCATCTTTGTCAGCATCAGCAGCCTGTTCTTGCATATGATCGTATCGAGTAGCAATGTAGTACTTCTGCGGCGGAAGCATCTCCAATAGAGTKTGGCATGCTCTTTCCTCTTCTTGAGATTCTCTTTGATATTCGAAATCGTGAGTGAAGTCCTCATGATATTCGGAATCGTGCGCGAAGTCTTCCATGATAGTCGAAGTCGTGTATGGAGATGACCAGAATACTTGAACCCAGTGCAATGAACCCCGTTTGGGCTGTCTGTGCACTACTCACATCGTAAATAGCGGTGCAAGTAATCTGCCTTGGCAGCGCAGTTTCCCATGTGTGGTGAGAAGACAAGTCTCATGATGAGGCAAGTGATGTGTGGGATGATGAACGACAAGGATCAGGGCAGGAGCTCAATCCCGACAGGCCGGGCCGAGGCATTGGCTTTTGATAGTGGAGCCGACCTTCACGTCCACCTTTTGGGAGCTCAAGCTACACGTTGTCCGCTGTCAACCCATTCATTCCCTCAATTTCTCACGCGATTTATCCAGGAAGGATGTCGGCAACAGGTAGGAGAGCCGGTAGCTCGGGTTCCTCCAACACCAGCACCGTGGAGATTGTGCTGCTTCCTGGCCTCAAGAACTGCCTGCTCAATCTGCCCGCTTCTCTCGTCGCTCTACTATTGAACTCCAACACCATTGCCCAGAATGTCGTCGTCGAGCTCCAATACCGCCAACCGGCACCCGCTGCTCAGGATGGAAGAAGTAAGACGGCATCAACCACCCAGTCGGTGTACTTGGGATGGACGGGCATGCAATCCCAGACGAAGCAATCTCCGCTGGTGGGACGGGATGGCATTCGTGGGAGCAATTCAAGTGGAGGGGGGAGAGCGGATCAGGAAGTTGCCACAGTGGAATTGGATGCAACATTGGCCCGAAGATTGGGTCTGAGCGAGGGCATGAAGGTAGCTCGAATGGGTGCATGTCCATCTTTGGGACGGCAAAGCTGATGGACAAGCGTAGGCCAGCGTAGCACTGCATGTCGATCCGCCTCAAGCACACACGGTCAATATCGAACCACTGACGGCAACGGATTGGGAGAGTAAGGCTGTTTCCACTACCCCAGTACACCGCCATGCTGACCGATTCCTCCCCAGTCATTGAACTCCACTCCTCATTCCTGGAAATGAACTTTCTCYCCCAAGTCCGCGCTCTGCCCAATCCTGCAGCTGGCAACTCCCATCCTCTCACGCTCCATCTCACGCCGACCTCGACAGCCAACATCACCGTCACCTCGCTCACACCTGCCCCCGCCAATACACAGCCGTTCGTCAAAATCTCACCAGATGCAGAGGTCATCGTTGCTCCCAAAACACGACAATCCGCCCGCCCCAGCAGCTCTCGAGACAGCCGCAGTGTTGCTAGTACAGGCCGAAGGAGTGCAGGTGGGAGGAGCACGACAAGTGCAGCACGACATCGGAGTGCACATGATAGTGAGAAAGCCCGGCCACCGCTGTTCCTGCGCGGTGTGACCCGAGCTCTACAAAATGAATGGTTCGAGGATAGTGGGGAAGACATGAAGGATGATGGCCTCCGGATCTGGCTGGACAGGGAGCACCTTCTGTCCAAAACTCTCCGAGGCGTCACTTGGGTGGTGGTCACGATCGTCAGACCGGCTGGGCTGCAGGAGCCCGTTGATCCACAAAGTCAACCAGCGCCAGATCAGCAACCTGCGACAAAAGTGGTGGCGAAGCTGTGTGCGTGGGAAGAAGCGCCAGACAGCCGTCATGCTGCCCTTTCATCCCTTCTCTGCGCTACACTTGGAGCAGAGAATATGGTCGGAGGAATCGTGAGGGTCGATCCTGCTCCAGCACCTCTCCCACGGACAGCTTCAGCATTGAAAGAGCCTTCTCAACAGGCCAGCAAAGACGCCATTGTGAAACGATTGCGTGTCACTCCCTTTGCTCCCACTCAAGCGGAGAAGAAAGCGACCGGCCTAAAGTTTGGCGGTGCTACCAAGTCAGAGGGTGGAGAGGGTCTGGCCGTTATCAAAGCTATATCTCGGAATGGTGTCTTGGAAGGTCCTTTGACCGACGGCATGTTCCTCCCGCCACGAGAGGGGTGGTCCGGTGGTATACTTGACTTTGACCCTACACCTCCTGGAGATGCGACCAAAGCGAGGACCAATTGGCTACTTGGAGGTGAGAGGAAGCTGGACATTACGCTACAACCGGAAACGGTGCGACAAAAGGTGCCTCAATGGCCACCTGGAGAGGCCTTGGCTGATGAAACCCCCGACCTGGTTGGGATTGATGCATTGATTGAGCAGACTCGAAAGAGTCTACTGCACCACTCCTCTGTTCTCCTCACAGGTGGTCTGGGGTCCGGGAAGTCCTCGGTAGCCCATCTGCTTGCCCACCAACTTCGGAATGAATTCTTGTTCAATGTCATCTACTTCCCCTGCCGCACGCTTGTCACAGACGAAACAAGAATCAAAACAATCAAGGACACGCTTCACCGCGTCTTTGCTTCTGCAGCGTGGGCAGCACGTCTCGGCGGCCGTTCACTTGTCATTCTGGACGATCTGGACAAACTATGCCCTGTTGAGACCGAGCTGCAAGTTGATGCGAATGGCAGAAGCAGGCAAGTTAGCGAGCTACTCTGCACAACAGTCCGTGAATGGTGCACACGCGATACAAACGTAGTGATGCTTGCCACGACACAATCCAAAGAGGCTGTTAACAACATTGTCATCGGTGGTCATGTTGTGCGAGACATTGTAGCGCTCAAAGCACCAACCAAAGACGGGCGACGTCGTGTACTGGAGCAACTGATTAAGCAAGCCAACAAGTCAAATTCCAGCGAGGATACCGCACTCCACAACGGAAGTACCGCAAATGCATGGATGGAAGGTTCCGAGGGGGAAGCGAGCAGACCAAGCTCTGCAAAGGCCCCTGAATCTACGACTTTTGAGTCTGATCTCGACCTCCTCGAGATCGCCGGCCAGACCGATGGGTACATGCCTGGTGATCTGGCACTTCTCGTGTCTCGTGCAAGAAGTGAGGCTCTTATACGCGCAGTCTCCGCTGATTCCTTCTCGGATGAAGTAATCCTCACTGCGGACGACTTCGCCGCTGCATCAAAAGACTTCACACCGGCATCTCTTCGTGGCGTTACATTGCACTCCAGCACCACTACATTTGCAAACATTGGTGGCTTGACAGAAACAAGACAGACGCTGTTGGAGACGCTGCAATACCCAACAACGTATGCTCCTCTATTCGCCAAGTGTCCTCTCCGCCTTCGCTCCGGTCTTCTTCTGTATGGATACCCTGGATGCGGCAAGACGCTCCTMGCATCCGCTGTTGCTGGCGAGTGTGGACTCAACTTCATCTCTGTCAAAGGTCCTGAAATCCTCAACAAATACATCGGTGCCAGTGAGAAGAGCGTACGAGACTTGTTCGAAAGGGCYGAAGCTGCCAAACCTTGCGTGTTGTTCTTCGACGAATTTGACTCCATTGCGCCCAAGCGAGGTCATGACAGCACTGGCGTGACAGATCGCGTGGTCAACATGTTGCTTACCATGATGGATGGTGCAGAGGGTCTCAGTGGTGTATACGTACTTGCCGCGACATCTCGACCCGATTTGATTGATCCCGCTCTACTCCGTCCCGGTCGATTGGACAAGAGTCTCATCTGTGATATGCCACATGAAGATGACAGACTGGACATCCTCCGAGCTGTCAGCAGCCAGCTGAAGCTCGACTCCACCATCTTAAATGACGAAGAGGGCGGGCAAGGGTTGAGAGAAGTCGCTCGTCGAACAGATGGCTATTCTGGTGCAGATTTGCAGGCTGTCATGTACAACGCTCATCTCGATGCAATTCATGATGTGCTTGGGAATGTGAATGATCAAGATTTTGGCAAGAAGAAGGATGACGGCCGCAAGGGGAGCGCGAATTCATCACGCCATCAAGACTTTACGTACTTCCGAGCGGGAGACCAGGATACGAGCGTCGGTCCTCCTGCACCTCAMGCTGCTGCCGCCCTGGTCGCCGAGCGTGCCCAAATTGCAGCCAAACTAGCAGCGCTACAGCTCTCTCGGAGGAAAGCCAAGGCAGAGCGGGAAAAGGAGAGAAATGGAGAGCGACTCGCCTCTTCTGCAGGCCACCCCTCGTATTCCCGCTCACATTTAAATGGTGACGGTGGCGAGAAAGCAAGCAAACCTGAAGATAGTGGCCATGCGGAGCCTGTGATATCCTGGCGGCATCTTGTCAAATCCATGTCTTCGACCCGGGCATCCATCTCCGCGCAAGAAAGGAGGAGACTGCAGAGAATCTACAAGGAGTTTGTTGTTGGTCGTAATGGAGATATGCAGGATGGACAAGGTGGGACCGAAATTGGTGGACGTACGAGCTTGATGTGATGTTGTGAACATGTGTAAAGTATGTATGTCAAGACTTGGGCCTTATTCAACGTCAATGTATTAATGTCCAAGAGTTCGCGTTCGATACCTCACTCTAGAGGTGGGTGCAGCTCACCGCCTTTCAAAATTCTGCCGAGTCACTCCAACTTTCCTTCTGCTCTTTTCACAGGACATCAACACTTGCATGTTCCACGTCTCAACAAACGACTGTAGCCCACTTTACCCATCAGTGGACCTGATCATCACCAGTTCCAACGACCCTCACAAGCCCTCGCAAGCGAGATGTATTCATGCATTTCATCATCGACTTTGTGGCCGCCATCACGGTGAAGCTACTTGCACTGGCTGTCGTCTCCTTATTCAGCATTGCCATCTATCGACTCTACTTTCACCCCCTCGCAGCGGTACCAGGACCTAGATTGGCGGCAGTGTCAAACATCTGGCATGCCTACCATGTTCGGAATGGTCGAATGTTGCGACTGGGCAAGACCCTTCACAGGACATACGGTCCCGTCGTCCGGGTCGGTCCTAATGAAGTGTGGCTGAATAGCAAAGCTGCTTTCTCCCAAATATACAGTTGGTTTTGCTCTGGCTAAAGGTGAGCACTTGCTTACGATCATCGCAGGCGTAACACATGGATTCCCCAAATCAGATTTCTACGTGGCATTGGCTTTGAACCGACCGACTCTCACTCCCTCCTTGGAGATTACCTTTCCTAACACACTGGATCTGCTGGGCGAATTTGACCTCCCGCGATACCGATTGCAGCGGAGACTCATTGGTCCAGTCTACTCCAAGCGTAATCTGCTCAAGCACGAAAAGGCCATTGACGAAGTCTTACTCCTGGCCATCTCTCGGTTGCGCGCGCTGAAGGGTGTTGAGGTGGACCTCAAGGAATTTATGCATATCATCACGGTCGAATGCCTCACTGCGGTGGTTCTTTCTTGGTCACCAGGCTACCTCAAAGCAGGAACTGATTTTGGTGTTGCTCATCATGCATACCTTGGCTGGAGACGGAAAAGTGTCTTTGGGCTCTTCCCATGGGCCGAGATTATCGATGGTTACGCACCGAGCCTTGGTCGACTGTTTGCAAGATTGTGGGTTCTGACTTACAAGACACCGCCGCGCTACAAGGCACTCTTTCCTCTTCTGGGCACGAAATCCAAGAAGCGCATCACTGTTGCTATGCGTCCTGCTCCTCCAAAGGACAAACGGGAAGATCTCGTGTTCGAACTGATTCGACTCCACAAGGACAAGCCCGAATTCACCGAGGACTACCTCAAGCGAATGGTCATGAGCAACTTTGGCGCTGGTCACGAAACCATGACTTCGGCTCTGACATCCGTATTCGCCATGATCGGGTCACATCGTGATGTTCAAGAAAAGGTTGTGTCTGAGATTTCTGCGACAACGGACGGAGATGGTGCAACATCCTACGCTGAAGCATCGAGCATGCAATACACTCAAGTAGCAATCAAAGAAGCTCAGCGATTGTATCCCACCATCGGCATGAGCCTATCAAGACGAGTGCCATCTGCAGGCCTCCGTGTCAACGGACTGTACTTTCCACCAGGAACCACAGTCGGCTGCAATCCAGTCTCTCTTCATCGGAATCCAGACATATTTGGCCCGGACGCCGAGGACTTCATCCCAGAGCGATGGATGGATGCTAACCGGGCTGTCGATATGCATCGCTATAATCTCAYCTTCGGCGGTGGTGCAAGGACTTGTCCGGGACAGAATCTCGCCGAGTTGATCATCTCCAAAGCTGTGCCAACACTGATCAAGCWCTTTGATATGCAGGTGGAAATGCCGCGAGAGGAGGAGATTCGATACTACTTTATGGCCATGTTGACTGGGGTTAGAATGCGGTTTGTTGAGAGACAGGAGATAATGTATGAAGATGCTTGATCCGTCCAGAAAGCGTTACCTGTCGAATGCATTTGAAATGCTCTTATTCACATACGTAGAAGTGGTGATGCAGGGATTGATGCATTTAAAGTTTCGCCAAATTAGCGCGAAATCTTGTTTATTTGTTGATGCCAGGGAAGTCGCGCGGTGGAACGGGTTGAAACGGGCCTAGAGATGACGACTGGCCATCACTTCATGCGTTTCACCTCTGCATAACAGCTCGACCGGTATTTCTCCAATCGAACCGCCAGCCATCTTCCCCCCCTCAAGGCCAAACCGACATGCCTCGAGTGCGCGGCACGGCGGGCGCTGGCGCAGGCGGACAATCCGGGGCATCCCCAGTCAAGACGGTCCAGATCCCGCTTAACGATGACAAGGAAGAGAAGGCGGCGCGACTGCAATCACGACAAGCCCTCCACTCCAAACAGATGAGCCAACTCAAGGCCGCCGCCAATGCGACGCCGCAAAGAAAAGGAAGGAGATCTCTCGGCGGCGATGCGGGTCCGCACACGCCCAGCCAGGACGACGACGACGATGGTGCGAATGTGTACGGTGTGCGCGGCGACCATGTCACTCCGATGAAGCGCGTGCCCATCCTCGCCAACTTCGAGGAATGGATGAAGATGGCGACGGACAACAAAATCAACGCGGCCAATAGCTGGAACTTTGCGCTGATTGACTATTTCCACGACATGACCCTGCTGCGCGAGGGAGACGGCGTCAACTTCCAAAAGGCCAGCTGTACGTTGGACGGCTGCGTGAAAATCTACACATCCCGCGTAGACAGCGTGGCTACCGAGACGGGAAAGCTGTTGAGCGGTCTGGCGGACAGCGGGAACAAAAAGCGCAAGGGCGGGGATGCGGAGAATGAAGGAGAAGATGCTGAGGATGATGAGGAGAACGAGGATGGCACCAAGAAGAAGGGACGGAAAAAGGCGGCTCGATCGGCAGAGGCGACGTTGGCCAATTCCTTTGATCAACTTCGTTTGAAGAAGATGGAACTGGAGTTTTCTGTCGACCCACTGTTCAAGAAGGCCTCGGCGGACTTTGACGAAGGAGGTGCAAAAGGTCTTCTACTCAACCATCTCTCCATCGACAGCACGGGCCGCATTGTCTTTGACAGCAGTGACGATGCACAAGCGGAGGAGAATGATGACTCCCGTCGCGATAGCATGGAACCTGATGGAGGAGAGGAGGGTGTTGAAAAGGAAGCTCCTGCTGAAGAACCCGCATCACAAGATCTTCCCATCGACATTCATGCGCTCGGTCTCCGCTTCTTCCCGGATCTTGAAAGGCTGGACGAGCAGGACATTTGTCCGACGATGAAGACATTCGAGCTGGGTGGCGGCACCGACAGCACTCTCGACCTGCCTTTCCTGAAAGCACCCGAGAACTGGCGAGATGATCACGCCGAAAGCCAGACTGATGACCAAAATGTCGACCACGCCGACGACCACACTGCGGCCTTTGGAATGGATGACGATGACGCTGGTATGGGCGGCTTTGATTTAGCTCCCGAAGTGGCGTTTGGTGAGGGAGGTGAAGCTTGGGCACGCGACGCTGCACTCCAACCTCAAATGCGTGTGTTCGACGCCTCTGCAGGCGCGGATGCTGGGGAAGATGATGCTGCAGGAGAGGTGGGCGTCTTCGATCACACCGCGAATGCGTATGGCGTGACACTACAACACCGTCCAGATCACGACCAGGAAAACATTCTCAACTACTTTGACAACGCCATGCAGAAGAATTGGGCCGGCCCGGAACACTGGAAGATTGCCAGAATCAAGGAGGCGACAAAAGATAAAGACAAGCCCAAAAACGTACGCAAAGAAAAGGAGCCGTTTGAGATTGACTTCTCATCCCCGATGAGCCAGGATCTGGCCAACATCCTCTACACATCTGCAAGCAACAACAGCGCCATCAGCTTACCGAAGAAAGAATGGAAGAGCAGGACACGAAATCTCCTACCAGACGACAAGCACTTCAACTCAAAGGATCTGCTCAAATTATTCCTCAAGCCCAAAGCCAAGCTTGGCGCGAGAAGATCAAGACAACACAACGAAGCTGAAGTTGACGAAGCATATTGGGCTGCTCAAGCGCGGGCAGATGTCAAAGCCATACATCCAATGGATGATGACGATGCACCGTTACAAGGCGACTACGACGCAAACTTCTTCCAAGATGACGGTCTGCCCATGGCTGGCGGTGCAATGGATGACGATGATGATGATTTTGCCGACGCACAAGAGAACTTCCTCCCTGATGGTCGTGCCGAGGGCGTAGAAGCTCCTGTTGGGGAAGGCATCGACTCAATACCAATGTCAAGCAGCGATGCGTTTGGCGCAAATCTCGTGGCTCAAAGTCGACGAATGCGGCCTGAATATGTCCAATATGCACGAGTGGCGAAGAAGGTGGATGTCCGACGTTTGAAGGAGGAGATGTGGAGAGGTATCGGATATGAGGCATTGGCACCACCCGAAACACCAAATCAGCGTCCGCAGATACCTTCCTTGTCGCAAGCACTTGGCGGCGAGAAAGCCGAGCTGATGTTCACGGACATCATGAACAATCTGCAGCATGTCTATCCTAGACAGCAAATGAGTGACATCAGTACGAGTTATGGGTTTATTTGTTTGCTGCATTTGGCGAATGAGAAGGGGTTGGTGGTGGAGAATTGTGAGGATATGGGATGGAGGGATCTGAGAGTTAGGAGGGATTTTGATGCTGTCGTCKGAGGTGGGGAATGAGAAGGCATTGTCTCGGGCGTTTATTGATTTGAGGCTGTACAGAAAGGTCGGTGGGTCTGTCTGWCATCCCGTATTCGTTGGTACCGTGGGGCTTTGATGTGAAATGATATCTCTGTTGTTACTATGGATGAGCTAGACCGCAACATCTTCTCATTGCTGATACTTGCTGTTGAAACGCATTTCGCCTTCATTACGCTCTTCGTTTCTTGTACTCTGCCGTCTGAGCACACGTCACGGGGCCCTCCGTCTGCGCATCGCGAAGAGCAGTCTGAAAGTGGTGATATTTAACCAAAGTCCCGGTCAACGAACCTCTGTGATATACGGTTTGAAAGACAAAGTGAGATTGCGAAATCGAGCAGACACTGCTATGAAGATGACAGGAATGAGCTCCGATCCCAAGCGAACAATCGATGGTACGTGAAAGGGCGCCCCTGGTGCTATCAGTATACAAGCAAAGAACGTAGCACCAAGATAAAAGACAAACCGAGGAGCAATGTTGTAGAATAGACTCGTTCTATGACAATACAGTCTAAGTAATGTACTACCGCGAGTCTCCGCTTGAAAACAGGTTTAATCATGCATTAAAATTACAGCAAGGCCGCGCGAAACTCCTGCATCAGTGGCTAGTCGTCATGAACGCCTCAAGTACCAGCGACCAAACATCTGGCACCATCAGCCAACGACGACCTTGGACCATTGGCAGACAGAGTCGCAGTGAAGGGCGCAGTGATGGTAAAGTTCCAAATCTGTCCGCTGACACCCTCGGAGCCGAAGAGGTTCCCGGAAGCGTCAGAGTAGAGTCCGTTCCATGTTGCAGTATTGGTGAGGCCGTAGATCTGTCCATTGCCGTTCTGACCAGCTGTGTAGGTCCCGACTAGGCTGAGAGTCCGCGCTGCAAGGTCGAATTTGAGCAAATTCATGGTCGTTCTGGAATTCACGGTACCGCCGTTGGTTGTGCTACCGATAACGATCGAATACAAGCCGTTCTGTGTGAAGGTCAGCAACCGATAACGGGATCAAGCTGGGGATTCGATTACTTACACCACCGTTTGGAACAAATGCCCAATCTTGAAGCAAGGCCGTACTCGCCAGAGCAGTGGTTCCAGACGCTACAACCAGACTGCAAGGTCATTACTAATTAGCGTACGATCTGTAGGGTCTTCGGATTGCCAACACATACCCATAGTCCGGACGCGAGGGATTGAGGTTGACCTGAGTCCAAACCAGATTGCCGCTTGCCTGAATTGCGGTATAGTATTGACCGTTGGTATCAATATCTCCGATGAAGTATCTCCCTGATGGGGCATTTTGAGTGTTATTCATATTCAAAATCTCCTGCACTGTTCCGTCGAAACCGAGACGACACAGCGTCTCGGGGAATCTTCCTCGGATAGTTCCATACAAGTAGCTGTCCAGCGGATTGTAGCCGAGACTGTTGATGGACAGTGGTGGATCATACAAGGTGCCAGCTGCATCGCGGAGCGGCAGATTCCAGGTCAAGACCTGCGAGTATCCACCAGCCAGAATGTCCACGACGTACAAAATCGCAAGCTGGGAGAGGTATCCCTGATTGATACATGGCGCGGTCGCAAGTGGACTGGCAATGACAATTGTTCCTGCAGCGGTGCCTGCAGGTGCCACTGATGTTGCTGTGTAGATSYCGGTGGT